CGAATGGATTAAAGTCGTTGCTTTGTATTTCGTTTACGTCTTCTTTGACACATTTTTATACTCCTACAGCATTTTTGGTTTTTTGTCATGACAGGCAGGAAACCTGCAAATGCCAAATCCAGACAATACAACATTTGGCCCAAAAAAACTGCAAGAATACTTATTCGTCTTCATGTTCCAAACTAGTTTTTCATTTCTTTTCTTATTGTGCTTTTTAAAGTTGGGTACACTTTTGTGTTATTGTCTGATGCTTCCACATTGATTTTTAAACATTTTCGCACTTCTTGTACTAATGGTACTGCTCCTTAAGACTAAGACTTTCCGCTGCAACGTTTTGTACAACTCCATAAATGGGTTTAAGGTGTGGTTCATGTTTACGAAATGCCCAGTTTGCTTTTATTGTTTTAATTTTATCCATATTCAGTTAAGCGGCTCATTTGTGCATTATTTGTCCATTAAATTAAAATTATATTTTATTTATTTTCAATATTCGGTTAATGCTATTTTGCGTGAGCTTGCCGACAAACTTATGTAGGCTTAGCGGAATTTTTATGTTGGCTGATCTTGTTGACCAGAGTCCAATAACCGAAATTAAATTCAATTTTGTATTAGCAAACTGGAATTGTTTTAATCTTAACAATTTATTATTGATTAAAGTTTATAAGAAAATTAGTATTAAATGCTGCTTTTAGAATTAAACAAACCTGTATACTTTCCAGGCATGTATGCCATATATGCGTCAAAAATATTTAAGAAGTATGAGAAAGGAATGTATTTCATATATGTGTCAAAAATATTTAAGTAAAATGATAAAGTTTGAATTTACCGAATAAAAACCTTTTATACAGAGTTCAGAATTCAAAACCACAAGTTTATCAGATTATACCCATATTGATAATCAGAAGAAAGCCCGTATAATTTTTCTTCTAAGAACTAATATATAAACTATAAGTCTATAGAGCTATTTATAGGCTCCTAGAGCTATTTCCTAGGCTCCTGTAAATTAATTTTTATACTACTTTTTAAAAATGTGTATTTAGAAGTAACCGAATGTTTTTTGAAACTATTCTTTTTCTTCTTTTGTTTTTGCTGATGTTAGCTAGCACTTTTTAGTTTTTCTGTTTTTTTTTTTTTTGTAAAGAAAGTTTGGACTGCTGATTGTATGCACGAGTAAAGTGAAGGGATATGTATACTTCGCTACTGAAATAAATTTAATTTGGTGATATAAAGAAAGACAAATCAACCCTTTTTGTTGATATGTGTAGATCAATCAAATTTAAAACTTTGGCTTCTAAGCTTTTTTGGTTTCAAAAAATTAGTGAATATAGTTTTAAAGTGAAAAAGCCATATTTGTTCAAGACAAATATTTGTGAATAAAGGCTATTTTAAGGCGTTCGTGAAAACTAAAGATAATACAATTTATAATATGTAAAACTCTAAGAACTATTGAACCTGGCGGACTAAATTTAGACCTCTTTATTTATATATAAAAATAATTCACTTTATCAACCGCATAATTTATAATTTATAATATTTTTAAGTATAATTTATGAAAGGTATTCATGATCCCGAGTAATAAACTTGGTAACGGAGTAACATAATCACAGTCCAAAGTGACAACACCAACACCAATATTTACTATTACTATTTATCGATTCCAAGAATGACCGGTACCACTCGTGGACTACAACAACAACACCATTACTATTTACTGACCACTACTTTTATTATTGTTATTACTACAAATGTTATTATGAGTACTATTGTGTTGTAAGATTACGATTAGGATTGAGTAGAATTGGTATTGCAGATAGTATTGGAGTTGACGATATTGAAGAGGGAGGCAATTAGAAACAGTACTCCTCATTATAGTACAAAAAAAACCCCTTAACAATATTTTTCAGTTTCTTTCATTCACATAAAACTTTTTGAACACAATTAAGTGTATACACCTGCGGTCTCTCCATCTCTCTCTGCTCAAATAACACACATAATTTTGTATTCCTTTCATCTCAATACCTACTGACACATTTACAACGATGTTTGTGCTAATAATAAAAAATGAAATTGAACAATTAATTAAAAAAAATTTTATCTTATTAAATAAAATTTGAAAATTCATTAAAACTTCAATATTTTATTACTACAAAATTAATGTACTATTGTAAAATATTTTCTAATTCTATCAAACCATTTTGATGACTTCAAATTTTAATTAACTACAAAATTTTGTTGGAAATCTAACTCCGTTCATTACACAAACATACATACGAAATACATTCACTTGTCGATTTTTATTATTAAAGTTTGCGCTGTGCACCCCATATGTGTTACTCGAAGTTACATTATATGTATGTGTCCCATGTCTGTCGACTATAACCTCGTCGTTGGTTGTGAAAATCGTTATGCCATAAAGTATCTCAATATACTTGTGTATATGTATGTACAAGTATGGTTAATATTGTTTATTGTGTGGCTATAAAGTAAATACATATTTATATGCACATTCATGTACTCTATTTTATTTGCATATAAATCTGTGAAACAGTTTTTACCATTGGACGTGCTTTCCAAACAGAGTATGCAGAGGCATCAATCAGCAATGTAGCATTCAGCGTACATTAATCAGGTCCTTCAACTTAATTCTGCACATGTCTTTGAAGTGTATAACAAATGTATATATAAAATGTATGTATGTATATATAAAATTAAATCAGTATCATCAGTGATATCAGTGCTATCAGCACTAATGGAACTGTAATTTCTAACTCATTTAAAACTGAAAAAGAAATTAATTATAAAATAAAATTGCTTTTGCTTTTGCTTTCTTTTTTTTCAGTTAGAGAATTTTTTTTATCGATATACGATATACATACATACTCATTTTACTATTAAACTATTTTTACCGATACATTAAAAAACTACTACTTTTTTATTTTGTTTTTGCTTTTAGATTGTTATACAATACACTATATATATAAAGCAACAACAAAACTTATTTACTCATCAACTAAACAAATATGTCTCCATCTCCATCTCCATCTAAAGTCGTTACCCAACCACCCGCTTAATGTGTTGTGCCGGTCTAAATTCACGCACATCTCTTTTACGCCGTGTTAGAAGGTTCGCCGTGAGCATGAGCCGAGTTCACATTGAAAATCTACACTTCATTCTTCTCCACTCACACCAACCACACCGCTCCGCTTAAAACTATTTCTATCATTCGGTCATTACCGGTTTTTATATACTACTAACTTTTTTCACGTACATAAATGCAGTTCGGTTGTGTGTACAGTGTTTTTGCACTTCTGATATCTACACTGAAATAAAGTATCGTTCGTCATCGCCGTTTTACATATTTTACTCGTTTTTTAACTTTTAAATGTAACTGTCCACATTTTCTAGATACATTTTAATGTTTTTTTTTTTTCTTTCTTTCTTTAATAATTTTTTTACTCCGATATATTTCTCTGGAAATGAATCACTGCAACTAATGCATACCTTTTGTTCCACATTCGTGACGTAAAACAGGTGTTTTTAGTGCAATAAATGTGTGCTTTAATATGTCGTTTTTCATTTCCATTATCATAAGTTTATGATAATTAAAAAAAAAATAAATAAATTGAAATATGTTTTTATAACCATTAATAATAGTCTTCATTTTTATATCTAAAATCAGCAGTTTTTATAAAATGATTAACTAAAATAAAAAAGAAAAATATATTATTATTAATATTATATTGAGGATAGTTGAGTCAGTGTACTTCAGCACTTTTACGCTCTATTAACTAAGAGGTTTTTTCATAACCCCTCTCTACCCCTTGACTGGATTATTGTTTATAACTTCATCGGACTAAGCAATAATTGACCTCAGATCTGCATGTTGGTAAGCCTATCAGTTTTCGTAAATAATTTCAGAGCAAATCTTAATTTATTCACATACAGCCCACAGATAATTATTTGTAGGTAGTTAGATAAGGTTTTAAAGACACGTGTTGATGCAAACACTCAAACTTCCCCATTTTAACGCCTCTAAAAATTCCAAGAGAAAACGAGTTATATTAACCATTGTCTCCAAAATGTCCCCACATGTTATTCTTGTTAAACTATTTTGTTTTTCAGTTGAAGTTTGAGAGATCAAAAAAGTCTATTTTCGCTAACACTGTCAAGCCGACGAATAAGCGGTCTTCTAAACAATGGAGTCGCTTTGTCTGCAGTCCTGGGCAAAAACATAGAGAATCGGTGCTAGTTGCCCTCATTCTAACATTAATGCAAAACGCAGTACCCTGTTAATACTGCAATAAGTATTCAAAGTGCAGTTTTGTTTAAATCTAGAAGATACTTTGTTGTTCTCATAACTAACCTTGGCCGTAGTGTCTCAGTTGAGTTCATGGTCTAAGCGATTAGTCCATAATATTTTTGTCATCGTAATGTTGAGTTCTCTACGTTCCTAAAGAGTTTACACATCAAGGTGTTATATTGAGGTATCGGTCTGATTAAGGTCCACTTCGGAACCTCTCACGGCGTTCTCATCTACTAGTTCCTTCCCTGCGATATCTCTATGTCTAGGAAACCAACACAGAAAGCAATGGGAAAAATTGCTCAAAACAGTGAATTTCGTCAAAATCTGGCTCCAAACAGTGGCAGATATCAACAAAAGTGAATCTTTTTTAAATATTTTAAAATATGGTATAAGTTTTAAAAAATTTTAAAAGTATTGCCTTATTTAGTAAAATGATATAGTGGTTTTCCGGTCCAGAACCTATAAGCTACGTATTCCTACAGTCAGCTAAAGCTTTAAACTTTTTTCGTGGTTCATCAAACTATCTAAAAACTTCTACTAAAATGAAATAACATATCATGTTTTTTTATATATGTTAATATTACCAAGTAATCATTCTGCTCTTATTGATCATAAGAATAAACCTTTTTTTTAATACTTAAAAATACAACTAAAATTCTTAAATTCCAATCTAATTAATATTTTTCCATCTTAATAGGATAAATTTAAATTAGTGAAAATCTTTCCATCAAATTATCGTTGCAATGCATCGATCATTGAAACCGCACGCACAAGCTAAAAAGGTACCACCGCCAGCTATACCTGGAGATCCTACACCACAACAATATCAACAACAAATTCCTTTATATCGTTTAGGTGCTAGTATAACGAATCCAGCCGGAAAACAGCTGGAAGATGGTATCATAATGAGTAGCTTGATTTCATCACCATCACTAGAGGAAGGTGGTTTTAATTTACCACGAGAAACATCTGTAGCTTTGCGTATGAAGGGTAAGTAAACTAAGTATAGTTAAAAAAATTCATTTATAAAAATCAAAATTTCTTCATTTCAAACTAAAATAGATGAAATAAATGATTACGCTGCAGCAATGTCAACATCAGGTTCATCTCAATTATCAGCAACGGCGGCCAAACAAGCTAGTTCCCAAGGTGGTATAGCTTCGGCTAATTCAAGCCACTTGTTAAGCGGTTGTACTTCCAATATAGTGCCATGTCCTGCACCTGTATTTTGTGCAACATTACGTGAACCATTAACGCATAAAGCAGCTGTTTATTATCATCAGCAGCTAGCACTGCAAGAAGATCAGGGTATTGATTTAACACAATCACCTGGACGTGATTCACCTGGCTCGTCATCAGGTTCAGCTGGTTCTGGGTCTAGACATTCCACAGCTAGTTTGGATTCGGGGCGAGCTTCTTCTTATCTCACTGGCGTTTCTGGAACATCTATACGCGGTGGTGGTGGTCCACTTTCCTCGCCACGATGCAGTTCAGTTAGTTCGTGTTCTATCGGAAGTGTAGATCGTCAACGCAGTGATGAGCTTATAATTGATTGGCTTATGGAAATGAAATATGAAGAGTATGCACAATTATTTATTGCAGCTGGTTATGACTTACCGACAATTGCACGTATGACACCTGAGGACTTAACTGCCATTGGTATAAAAAATCCACATCATCGTGAACGTATTAAACAACGTATCGATAAACTACAAGTTTTAGATAATTTGCCACATTTTGTACCAGTAAGTTATAGTTTTTATTTAAACAAGTTTTTTTTTATGATAAACAATGATAACAAATATTTGTAGTTCATAAATATTAATTAATATAGTTTTTTATTGAATTTGTATAGAAATGAATAATTAATTTATTATTTTCATAATTATTCATTAATTGAAAAAGTAGGTATAAGTATATATTGAGTGTGCGATAATATATGAAGTATGTAATGTATATGGAAGCATTTATAAAGAACATATAAGATTTTAAAGAATTTATTAGATATCAGTAAATATAAAAAGCAAGATTGATATAAGAAGACTTCTTTCAATTTTAGTTCAATATCTTTTATGTTCTCTTATATAGAAGTATGTTAAGTAAAGACTCGAATCGCTTTATCTACCTTATGATGATATATTCGCAAAAACATATTTTACTTTTTTCTCCTTCAATTTGTTTATTTACTGAAAATAACTACAATGAAAACTAAACAAAGAAGTAAGAAGTACATATTTGCTTTATTCTTAAAGTTCAATGTAAATATTGAGATTTTATATCTATTAACAGTGTTTTAATATCTTGTGTTCTCCAATTTTATGGGCTTTTTATGAGTAATATATATTTTTGTGTTCATACAGTTTTCTTATAAACGTTAATAAATTTATAGTACATTCATTTGTATCTTTTTAAAAAGAATAACAATGATGTCATTTTGTTATTTTTGCAAATTCCGTTTTGTTTATGCAAGTGTTTACTTCCTTCAAACAGATCTTTGTCTGCCATATAGATTATAGACTCAATTTGAAACGGAGATTATAGTTATGTACATAACATAACGTTAAGACATGGCAATAGTTTAGCTTAGAAAAAACCAAAAGCGGAAAGTGTCGCATAAAAATAATATCTTATTTGCCAAGCCACAAATATTTTTCATTTGCATAAAATATTTGAAAACCAGTTTTTTATGAATTCATCATCTTCATAGCCTCAAGTATTTTAATCACTCTAAAATTATTCATTGAGACTGCATACTTGAAAATCCTCAACAGTAAAGGTTTTTTTGAACTTACATAATCTTAAAATAAATTAGCATTATTTATTTGTTTCATATGTTTTTGATATACTTAATAATATACATATGAACGGAAATTGATATAAAATTGTTGGGTTTAGTTTAATTTGATTGTGATTTTAGTTTTATTCATACGTATAGAACATAATAGATGACAACGCAATAGGTAACCTCTTTCAAATATGTGTTTGGGATCACCAACTCTATTCCCCATTATGTATCCTTCTTATTTTCATATTGATCTTTGGCTTGTAATTCCTCTACCTCGACCCAAAGAGCTTTCCATTAAGACCCACTGATGCCGTCATTATATGTCCTTACAAACCGTCTTCTTCTTACTTCCCAAATCGTGTATTCATTCACTTGTTATTTTCCTGGACTGTAGTAGTTCGTTTCGTTTTGTCTCAAGATTAGGACTTTACTACGAGTTTTAAGAAGATATACTTTTTAAAAAATCTGAACCTAGTTTATGAAATTTTAGAACTTATTGTAGCTTATCTCTTTCTATTTCCTTTTGTTGATTGTTAAAAGTTTTCATTTAATTTCTGGATTAAGCGATTTTCCATTATTATTAAGTTTTACTTTCAAACTTCGTTTACAATTCTTTTTTCAGTGCCATTAGGGATTCCTGTCTAATGCATAGCGACTAATTTCCTAATATTTCCTAAATATACGTTGCCTTAGCATTATTTTATTAAAGACTTTATAGTATTGTTTAGTTTTGTTTTTTTTATTAAATAATAAATTATATTATATTATTAAATTATATTATATTTACAGTCTTGGCTATGCGGTCTTCAATATAGAAAAAACTATAATGTATTGGCTATAGTAAAATCACTCTCATGTTGTTAGAAAAGATTTTTATGGTCATCTTCTTTGATTTATATATCTACTTATTTTACTTTGCGCAAACAGACAATATTCTTCTTTAAAATAACACCAATTGTCAAAATAAACATCACGTTTTTGTGCGAAAATAGTATTCTATTGGACCCAATAGTGCCATTGCAGTACAAGGCACTGTTTTTATCTTCCATCTGTTTATATCTAATTATTATAAAATCCAGCATAACACCAACATTTTTATCACTTTTTTATAATGCATATGCTAGCTAGAAATATACTTTTTAGTACTATAATACACCTTGAGTATATAAACAATATTTTAAATTTAGCGATAGTTTTAATAATCATAATATTATTATACTGTATAAAACAAATTTTAAATGTTAATTTTAAATTAATTCATAAATTAATAGGGTTCAATTGAAGAATGGCTACAATTATTACGTCTTGAAGAATATATTCAACCACTATTGGACCAAAGTTATAAAACGGTACGTGAAGTGACACAGGTCACCTGGGAAGATTTAGAAGATATTGGCATTGTTAAACTGGGACATCAAAAGAAAATTTTACTTGCAATTAAACGTGTAAAAGACATAATAAGTGGAAAATGGAATCCCGGTGGATCAAACTCTTATCAACAACATGTAAGTTTTATCTATTTTAATATATTTTTCCCATAAACAATGGCGATTAATAACATATATGTATTAAACATGTAATTAGTTCAATACTATTAGGATAAAGAACAAGTTGTAGTTATTGTTAGTTATCATTAGGTTGAATTTCTGCTAAACAAAATAGTTATGCTAGAGACTAGCAATATTTGTTTCTAGAAATGTGTCATAAATAATATCCCTCCCATAAAAACTGATTACTTACAATCCACCGATACAACAGTTGTTAAAAATAAAGCTGTTTGTTTTTAAGCACTTTTTATTTTATTCTTCAAACACATTTATTTCAAATTTTTATTATTTAATTAAAATATATTTATATTATAATTAGTCGAACTAGGTTTTTTTTTAAGTTATAGTTTTTCTAGAAAAATCGAAAGCAATTATTAGTTAAACGCAATTTGGGTTGATCATAAAGAAGTTTTAAATATTCGTCATCAATGAACTTTATATTAAAGTACATTGGTACAATAGTCCAATGAATAGCTGTATCAGACCACATTGTCTGGCTGTACGGAACTAGGAGACTTATTAATTCAACCCGTACTGAAAATTATATCTGACTGCCTGTGAACCCTTACAGATCTAGGAGCCTGTGAACCCCTACAGATCTAGGAGATTTATAACTATTGATCAAAGCGAAATGGACAATATTATTTTATTTCCTATAATATTTGGAAAACCGTTATTCTTAAAAGTATCTGAAACTAATATCGCAGATCTCAGAAAACTATAAAAAAAATTAATCGTGTAAAGTAATTCGGACCTGAAACAGATGTATTAGAGTAAATTTCATCAAGTAAAATACTAAATCAATAAGAGGGAAATCTAAATTTTATTTATGTTATGTATATTTGATTTTAATTATTAATTTTAATTAAATTCATATATTTTTTTTATTCACCTTATATTTAATTTTGATTATATTTAATTTTTTTTTTATTATATTTAATTTTTTTTATTATATTTAATTTAATTTTTTTTGATTTTTGAAATAAATAAATGATGAAAATAGGAATATCGTAAAATTTGGCAAGACTCTTTAGAGGCAGCCTCTCCCACATACATTCCTACAACTCGTGTTTCTTGGGACGATTCTAGACTGTATGCCACTAATGATAATGCTTATTATTGCACTGGTAGTAATCATGAATGCCCTAATGGTAATGATGTAGTTTTAATCAAGGTGAGATTAAAATCCATTGAATATAGACCTATACATATAGACCTATTATTATAGTATTATTTATCATTTTTAAATTAAATATATTTTGCAATAAAATAATGTTAAAATATTTTACTATAGGTTCGTCAGCCGAGAGGTAAAAGCTTAGAATCATTGGAGGACTTGCATGACAATAGCACACGCAGTCATCTTACCTTCAGTCATTATACCGCAACTGACTATGGACATTTTGGACATCCCTCACAAATGCATCCACATCAACAAGCTATGCAACAACAACAGCAACAAGTTCCACCTTTATGCGGCAATCGAATGCTTAATACCGCAGCAGCTATGGTAATAACAAATTACTTTTGTTTTCATTTTTTGTTTAAATTCTTAAGTTTTGAATAAATACATTTACATATAAACATTGTTACAGATATGGTAAATATAAAATCCATTTTCACAGCACGCATATTCTTTAAAACAGTTTTAGGAAAACCACTTCACTAGCAATTTTCCTGTTATTAAGGTTATCCACGCATTGTTATAATTGAAGTGAATGTGTGTGGAGTGTATAAATTCCAAAAATGTTTCACATTCTCCACGTACTATTTAATGTATTAAATTATGTACAGTTCGTAATTGTTTTCTATACTTGCTTGCCATGAGGGCTTAAACCTATGATGGTCTCTCTCAACACGCATATTCAAATAATGTCCGATAAATGAATACCCCTACCCCTATTAATTTATTATGATTGTCACTGATTTCATAAGCTGCTTAACATTTTCTTAATCACTTGATTACTCAATTTCGTGCTTAATTTCAGACATCATTATTTCATTATTTATAATAAATCTTAAGTTCCTTTATCTGCTTAATTTTATTAACATGCTTGATTTTTTAATTTTTAAAAATTAAGTTCAAATTATTTATAATTCATACATAAGTATATATTTATTTATATATTTTAGCAACTATATATTCACTTGACATATATTAACATTTTTAGTCTTGGCGCCGTTCATATGATGATGGGGATATAACTCCAACGAACGATGCCACACGTGATTTAGTGTATGAAGAAGGTGGAGGTACGTTACCTCGTCAACAGCGTGGTATATTGCAGCGTGCTGTTCTAAATAGCATGCCACCTTTAGAACACCATCACTATATGAATGCAGCCGCTGCTGAATACGTTTGTCATGCAGCGGGTATTGGTGGCCCGGTTTCACTTGGAGGTGGCAATATGAATGTGGCAGGCGGCATAATAGATAACTCCAACATAAATAAGGTAAATATTTTATATATTAAATTAAAATAGCTTTTAACTCTTTACTATATTTTGCAGCCTTATATAACTGGAAGCCCATTAACAAGTAAGAAAATTGCACCAGAGCCACCGCGACGTCATTGCAGTATACGAAATTCTAGAACTCTAAGTTCAGATGTTACACAATTGCCACAACAAGCGCAACAATCTTTACATGCAGTCGCACAAAATATGTATTATGGTGCTAATGATGGCACTGCTATGACATCACATCATCATGCAAGTCCGGCTTATATGCAACAACAATTGCAAACAACACAACCTATCTATGCTAATTATGCTACAATACAGCAAACAACAGCAGAAATCCACTGTGAAAAATTCCATGACAATAAGGTATTATTAAATGTGTATTCGTAAATTTTTTTATGACATTCTTTAAAATTTATTTTCTTTCTAGTCAAACTCAAGTATTGATTCCATTGATACCATTCCTTTTGCTAACGAAAACACTGGTACAATTAAACAACGCTTACTAAATCGGCAAGATATGACACAACCTCAACAGCAACAAAATCGATTGCATTCGTCCTCATCATCTTCATCATCATCTTCTACAAACACAATAGCAAATATTGCACACTCGTTTCATTCACTTAAATCATCATCTTCATTGCACGATGCATCTTTGATACGCAGTGATAGTATTGGTAGCAACGCAAGTGGTGGTAGTACAGGTACGAATACCGGTATGGCACTTTTGCGTTCACCCACTTTACAGTACCCTCCGGAAGCGAACGCAACAGCCTGTGGATCGTCTACTTTACCAACTACAATAACTACAACTGTTGATTTGCATACGTCTAATAGTAGCGGTGCAGTGATGACACCTGATGCCATTCAAAGCGGTACTGGTAGTACCAGTGAAATGCCCACCGTTTCCAATATTCCGGGACAGAAGGTGTCTGCAAATGTGCTCAACGATATTGGCAATATGTTGGCCAATTTAACGGATGAACTTGACGCTATGTTAGAAGAAGAGAAACGTGTCGGTTTAAATATTGATAGCGAATAAGTTTAGTAATCGTAGAAGTAGTATATTATATATAAGTGTTTAGTTGTTAGCACAAATTTATTTTGATTATAATTATTATATTGTTTTTATTATTAACATATTTAAAAAAATTATTATTTTTATCTTTTTTTCAATGTTAAACTGTGAAAGTATAACTGATAGTTTTTAAAAATATTCGCAAGCCTATTGTTGACAAAATACTTCTTATATATTTTAATTATGTTTATACTAAAAATTTTTATACAATTTATCGATTGATAATGTATATTATCAAAGCTAAATGTGCAGTTAATAATTATCTATGTTTTATAAATTAACGCCATAAAAACAAGTTTATAGCCATAATTGAAATCTGTGCAACATTAAGTTCCACAGTTTTGATTTTCATATATTTTTTATATATTTATTTTAAATAATAGGATTTGAAATCGCAGCTATATGATATTAAAAATATTAAACTGTACTAGTAAATTGTACGTAATTTTGGTACATATACTACTATGGCTACATAGTATTTGCTGGGTTGTTACGAATATATGTTTTATTATTCTATAATATCATTAACCGCGTTCTTTGCTGAACAAGTAGGGATCAAAATGAATATATAATTATTAATTATATTGTCGGAACTATTTGCTTACGACTAATGTTTTCATTTTTTGATTATTGACAGCACATTTTTTATTTATTACGTTCCACTTTTATTTCGCACATATGTTCCACATAGAACCAAAATGTGAAAAAAAAACTATTTTTCGTATATGTTGATCAAATCATTTTCGTAAAAGACAGTTATATTTTTTTTTTTATTAAATTTATTTTTTATGTTAAATGGGTTTTTTAATATTTTCAACTATCGGTTATCATATGAAAATTACAAAAATGATTGTATTTAACAAAAATAGAAGGGTGAAGGTCCTTTTACAAACTATTTTTGAATTAATATAATAATAACCCTCGACAACGTTATATAATATTTAAAAATTAATATTCAACTTATAGAAAATATATATATATATATAAATTTTATAAATATAAATAAAGAATTGACAGTTTTTTGTACAATTTAATGTTTTTATAATTAAAGTTATGATGTTTAAGTTTATATAACATTTTTATTTCAATAAATGGATATGTATTGGGTTTAAACTAACACTGCATATAAATATAATGTATTAGTATGTGTAATATAATGTTTACAATTACAATTACAATTTATTCCAATTTTATAACTTCAAACATCTTTATTAAATGAAGTTTATTTAAAATTTCTTTATTCTTTAAATAAATAGTTGATTTTAATTAAAAAAATACAAAAAATATGTATATATGATTATAAACTCTTAACACGTATGCATATAATATGCATATTTATATGTAATAACAATAAAACAGAAATGGCCTTTTCTTTAGTTAATAAACAATTTTGTTTTTACAAGTAAACTTATTTTTTTTTACTAATTTAAAATTAGTTACAAAGTAGTTAAATAAAAATGATTAGAACATAATATAAAAAAATAAATTGTTTAACATTTTACATAAATAAATAAATACTATCTCTTAAATTAATATATATATATATATATATATACATATATATATGTAACAAAAATTATTATAAGAATTTTTGGAAAAGACTATTTAGAGTAAAGTAAAAATTAATAAATAATACTGGATTAATAAATAATCTTTACAAAGTTATATTCATAATACAACTTGTTATTAATTGTAGACAAATAATATCAAAAATTAGCGAATGCATCAGCCATACAAATTAAAAGCTATAATTCTAAATGCATAATTTATGTCAGTATCAAATACCAACTATTGAGATCTGACTAACCTTTAAGAGGATACAATCACAACTAAGGAAAATTAAATATAGATAGTACACCAGGCATAGTATCACCATATTTTTCGTTTTTAAAAATATAGTTCTAAACCAACTTGAAGAGCTTGAGAGGCAGATATTGCTGACAACATATATGCTCATACAAATGAGAAACGTGTTTTAAAAAATATGTGAAAATGCCAATATAGAGATTATAAAGTCTAGAAATATTGTATGATATATAAAAACACACTGCTTGCAATAGTTGTGTCATATTAACAGAATATCTAACAGTAGTGTTGTTAAACAGGCATATTTACAGATCCTTTTGAAAAACAGAAGAAGAAGAGAACCGTGAAAAAATCAAAAACTGTTATAAAAGAAGTTTTAGAAGTCGACTATTATGACTATAACAATCAACGCACAATTAAGACATTTGAAAAAATGTTGCAGAATCAATAGCGCATCGGGAACTGTGAGCTAACGAATAGGATTTTTGATATATTTAAAATACTATAAACGAATTGTAACTCTTTATAGTACCCAACGATGTAAAGAGTATAAAAAGCTTAAAAATGTCGAATCCCTCAAAAGAAAATGGTAGTGGCTTTGGATTCTAACTATATATATAACATCTTCCATAACTATGTTAAATTGGAAAAGTTATTAAATTTAAGTTCAATAAATTTATCTTTCACCTGTACTTTTCTAATAATATAAGCAGAATTCTCTTCTTATATTATATACTCTTATATACTCTTCTTATATGAATGAAAGTTATTTTTATTAAAATTTATGAAAACATATGATAGGTATAATATTTATAAGTGTGCTTCGACACTGCACATACCTATACATTAATATATTGGTACTGCATATTGAGACACGATTATATATCTTTAATTCTGCAATTTGACAGTGAATTTGTTTAAAGATAGCCATTCTGACAATATTTTTTACTGCGATGTCGATATAACTTCGATCTGTAAATATCAAGCTTTAGATATTTTTTTAAGATACTTTTTATGTATATTTTATGTATATCATGTATATTATATTATGTGTACTTAAAAGATTATTTCTATTAGCCTTAAGACCTACAACCTGATAGCGTGTATCAGAAAATTAAAAAACATTCAATAAGACCATAATACCACCGAGTTGTAAGAAGTTACTTTAAGTCACCATGGAAAAAATTTTAAATATGCTATGAACGTAAGTCAGAACATTTTATGTATATTTTATAAAATAGACGTTAAATCAATTAAATCGCTTGAATACATTTGACAATAATATAAATTTAGGTTAATCATATACTATTTTTTGAATATATTTTTTTAAGTTGATTTGTTTTTTGATGCTCTGTTTTTTATATGCTTTCTTTTGTAAGTGTCCTAAAATTTTTAATATGATGTAGAGTGCATTAATTTTTCTATAGTCTACCATATAGAAACATTGAGCGTTCCACAGCATATTTACAGATCGATATAGATGTTACTTCAGAGAAAGATATTCTCCTTTATGCACTTTTCTCATACTCTATTTCAATATTAATTGATATGATTTTATCCTTCATTATATTAGGTATTCGCTATACTGAATATGTACAATATTTTCTTTAGATAAGATTTATGAAATTATTATGATATATGAAATTTCTGTAGATTTATTTTAAATGAAGTAATATATAGGAAAAGATAATTTTCTGATGAATGTAGATAAAGTAATAAAAAACGAATTTAATTTTTAAAACCATATAATAATAATTAGATCGGCGAAACATTAAAAAATGACGAGGAAACATGAAACGGATAAAAAATAGACATCATTTTTTATTTAGAGCAGTATAAACAGTGTGCTAATATATCTTAGTATAATTAATAAGTAATAAGCAATATACTTAAGTTATAATAAGTAATATAAATAATAAGATATTTGTAATAATACAATATAATAATTGTTTTCTTTTAATAATGAATACATTTACTTATTCATGACATATTAGTCACAATGTTAAAATACATATTTATATTTATTTATTCAAGTAAAGTAAATTTATACCACAAAATATAATATTTAATATTATATATTATATAAATACATCTAAATACTGGCACAAACAAGAATAAGTAAACAAAAACAAATATCCATAAGAAAAAGCGCATATTTCGAATGATTCCAACGACTGTTGGTTTGCGATATTTCTCTTATATTTCAGTTTTGACTTGTTCTCGCATGTAACGCACATTCAATGCGAGTAAAATAGTTCGGCGATAATCGCAGTGTTGTTCGGAATTGTCAATTTTTCGTAATCCGAATTTGTTATAATCTATTTAAATAAGAAATTTGAAAATAAAATATTAACTTATATAAAATAAAACAGGTGACAATCATTTATGTAAAATAATTCTTTACTTTACTAAAACACAGAAAAATATATTTTTCTGTGCGCGATACGAGAGCCAATAATTTTTATTGGAGATGCCATCTGGATTCAATAATTTTAACGTCATTGCAAAGTGTAACAATTTTCAGTTGCGGGATACGTTAATTTTTTATTAATTTTGTTTTTATTTGTGTGAAACATACTTAAAGCATAATTTCTTTTTTCTCTTCTGATTTAATAAAATTTATAAAAAGTTTAAATATAAATAACGTATATGTAATTTTAGCAATTTTTTTTATTTTGTTAGTTATACAACTTGAATTAAAATGGTAAGTAATATGTTTATAGCATACATATATTGAAATCCTAAAAATTTATAAAATTTAGACAGAAAAAATGGAAGAGAAGTTAGAAGAGCAATTAATTAAAGCAGTACGCAAGCATGATTGTTTATATAATTCGAAGAGCCGAAACTATCGAAACACAAAATATAAAGACATAACCTGGCGGTCAATAGCTTCGAATTTAAATATAACAAGTAAGATTGATTAGTATAATAGTTTATGCTATATATAATAGTATTATAAATAACAGTTTCGCATTTTGACAAAAAATATTAGTCTTATTTTTCGCCAAAATTGAAAACATTTTTTTATTTTTCGCCAAAATGTTTATACTGATTTTTTTTTTCTGTATACTAAAAACAATAAATAAATGCAATATATATTTTAGGTGAAAATGCTCAAAAAAAATGGAAAAACTTACGAGATTATTACTTTTTTATCAAGAGATCTGAGCAGAAATCACCATCCAGTGCTGCTAGTAAGAAAAGAAAATGGAAATGTTACTACCAGCTGCAATTTCTTGATGATATACCAAAAATTCGAAAGTATGTATCATAAAATCAGCAGAATAATATATTTAAAAAAATTATTTTATTAACTCGTGTTATTTAAATTAGCAAATGGGAGAAAGCCGATGATGAGGAGTATTTCAATGAATTTATAATTGAGGAAGAATCATCACAAAGCGACAAAAAGCCAAAAAAAATTAAACCAACAGTAAGGATAATAATGTAGTATCTTTGAAATTTAATTAATAAATTAATATTATATAGAATAATACTACCGATGACTTCAAGAAATTTTTGGAAACTGCAACTTTAAGTATTCAAGAAACTTGTGTTTGGATGCGTTCACAAGAAGAAGATAGTATTTCAACCTATTTTAGATCACTGGCAGAAGAAGTCAAAGAAGCCAATCTCCCACATGAAAAGTTACTACGTTTAAAGCGAAAAATTTTTAACGTTATCTATGAAGAATTAGAAAATAATGAAATGGAACATGATTAAATCTATCCAAGACTTTTTTAAGTAGGTTTATGTATTGTAGACATAAGTAATAATTAAATTAAAATTATACATATAAAACATAAAATAAAGTTTACCCATTTAACATTAAAAATAATGTTTGTTTTGCTTTAAACTTTTTTGATTGACCTCTAACTTATTTATTTAAATTGCAATAAATACACATCAGGCTTACAATTAAAATATTGGATTAAATATACCACTATATAGGTAAGGTTGAACATATTAATTACACAATTTATCAAAAATATTTTTTAAAATCAATTTTTAAACAAAGTAACAAGCACAGGACTATTTATTATTTGTACTACATAACACAGTATTTATTGTAATATACTCTCTCTCTCTCTCTCTCTTTAGCTTTAGTATTGTAGATTTTATAGTAAATGACTGACTTGCTGTTTTTTGCCATATTTTGATTTTTCCGAATACACCAATGTTAATATTATATTTTGTTTTGCTTTAATTTATTATTATTAAATAATAGGCTATGAATGCACCCCGACCTAAATGTTCTATTGTGCGCCTAAAAGCCCAACTAAAACAATTCTACATTATTTATAAATCTCATAATTGCTGTGGGCTTAATTTTACCTATTTGATTTGGGACTAAGATCCCGCTTTCAAGGTAGTCGAGTCTACATCTTGCCGCCGCTGTCCAGTTGCATGGGACATATTCTGTTTCCTTCTCCTCATTACAATTATTCGCAATTACAATATTGTGAATTATTAATTTAATATCAACTTGAATTTACAGAAATTACAATCCAATCATCATTTTTATTTTCGGTTTTTTTATGTAGTTGTATTATAATATTAACTTGATTTTGTAACTAAAAACGATAAAGACCTAAGTCTAACTTAATTTTTGTCTAAGATTGAACAAAATTAGAATCAAAATTACGTTTATTTATTTTATATGAATATTTTATAAAACAATAGCCAGGGAAATAAAATATCTTTTAACTTTATATAAGAAGTGCTTGTGCTATACACTCACTTTAGTGTAGTTTGGCGCATTATTGTAAAAATAAAATAAAAAATAATCTCCATCTCCCACTGTGCACATTATAACTTGAAGTTGGTATCACTGCTTTCAAAATATTTTATTTTGACTTGTTTTCGTAATTCGCAGTTTCGTTTGTTGTTGCGTCGTTCGTCTCGGGCGAAGTTGGATTTGATGACAAAATTTTGAATAGATTAGTAAATAAGTTCAATTTAAGTGTAGTTTTGTTAATATATATATATGTTTAAAATAAATATCTCATCTAAAACTATAACCTATAATAATAGTATTTTATAATTGTAATTAAAATAATAAATAACGCAGTCGATAATTCCATACAAAATTATTTAATAAGCTTTGCGTGAGAGCGAAACAGTGTGCAAAGAAAGTAATTTCAATAATTTATTTCTGTCAGCGAAATGTGTAAATCAAAAATATATTTTTAAAAATAAATTCTTCTGTCAAAACAAAATTTTTAACAATAATTAATTGCTTTAAAATATATAAAAAACAAAATATTTATATTTGCATTATATAAACTCATAAAATGTCGGCTGAAGAATGCGAGCTGGACCCGCGAATTCAGGTAAAATTACAATTAAAAGAAAAGCAACAACAACAACAACCAGCAATTAAAAGTCAAGAGCATGTAATTTTACATTAATTGCTACAACATAAAAAAAATTAATAGTTAAGATTAAATTTATTTGTTTACTCATTAAATTTTGGAATGAGTAATGACATTCAATGTTGTACAGGTGATTTAATTTAATTTTTTTTCACACTTTTCTGGAACGGAAATAAGACAATTGATTTTTTTAAAAACATAAATCATAAGAAAAAAATTATTTTTTTTTGTTAATTGTTAATGTAAATATGCGAGATTAATTTACAATTAAATTAAATTATAATACACATTATATCGTATTTATGTTATTTAATTATAACTTTAAATTAAAAAAGAAAGCAGTAAATGTCAGTGTTATTGACTTCCATAATATTTCGTAATATCCATAATATCACAATAATATAATTAAATCCAAAAATGCATTTTCTGACTTTGAACATCCGCATTTGAAAAAGTATTTTTACCTTAATCAATTTTTTGATAAATAAATGAAGGTAGTAAAATTTATATAAATAAAACTGAAAGATATTAGTTTTTCTGCAATATTTTTATAATAAATGGCCATTAGTTTCAATATTGAAATATAGAGTTTTCTTTTACTCTAAATTAATTTTTATTTTTATTGTTTATTTCTCTTACTTTTTTGATGCTGTTAATTGGCACTTGAACTATTGTTTATATTAATGTATACATATATTATAGTTAAGTCGAATACTGCTTGTCAGTATTCGTTCATATATTTGGTACCTTGATATGTACTAGAATTAGCAGACTAATTTATAGAGTCTAACAATTTCTATGTAAGTTAGGTTATACCGGCTATACACTTATGCCTATAGGCTCATTGAGTTACCATATAATTAAAAACTCAAAGGTAAGAACCACTTAGAACCTTAAACAAAGCTTATAATGCTATTCAGAAGTGGGAGGTCTTGCAGTTCATTAAGATCCTCAAAGAAGAAAGTTCCTAAAGTTATAAGGGAAATACTTTCATCGTCCTCTACACAATTGCAGCAGGTATACTAGTTGAAAGGGAGTTTTAGTCTCCTAGCATGATGACCTAAAATACATTGAGCTGTAAGTAAACCTACTTCTTCTTCATTCTATTGTGTTCCCAAGGGAACATTGGGTCATGTGGTTACAGTTGTACCTATCGATGAGATTCTGTTGAAACGTGAGTTTTGCTCCTTCAAATCTGTTGTGCGTGCTGCCGAGCATGTGGATTTGCCGTATAGATACGAGTACTACTTGAAGACTGTAATTCCATCGGGTCATAGCAATTTGTTTTTACAGAGCAACTTTTATGATACTTTATTTTTATAATGGCCTACAATTTACCATAAGAAATAAACAAAAGTCATTTTTAATTTTTAAATAAAAACTTAAAATTAGTGTTAATTAATGCTATCTAAAATTAAAAAAGAAAGTACACACATAATTAATTTTATATTACAACTATGAGTAATGAATTTAGATAATCTACTGATAATGTGTGCCATTCAAATTATTCTGATTAAATGCATGCCATTAATTCGTTTAACTACAAAGAAGTAAGAAAGACGTTAGAAATATGTTATATCGCCGGATTAAAGAATGATGTTGTTATATCGTCTGAATAACTTCAATTTTACCAGATTTTGTTATATTATTATGTGGATACTAAAATAATCTGCTTAGAATTGACGATCTACAATTTATAATGGTGGTCTCTTATTATACAAATCTAATCTGAACATGATTGTGACGCACACACATTTTATTTCAAATTTGACCGTTAAACCATCGTTCAGAAAGAATAAAAGTGCAAAACTTTTTTATTTAGTTATGTTATTTCATTTTAGTCATGCAAAAATTCAAAATGTGTATCAGCTCAGAAAGTAAATCCAATTACTTCGGTCTGACTCAGTATATCTCTCCAGCCGCCGTCTTCCAGTCTCGTACATCAAGTGCGATTAGTGCTTTCTCAACTTGATCGCTCCAGCGAGGACAAGGTCTACCTCTTCGCCTTCTTACTCCAACTACCGCAATTTAGAAAAGTTTAATTTTTAAAATAAATTGCGATTCAATGTAATGAACTTTGTCTTAGAAGAGGCTATTTTCTTAACTTTTGGTTATCTGCGGTATAATAAATCTAATAGATCGTAATGTGCTGTTGATTAAGTTAATGTACTTCATTAAAATTTATATGAAAAAACTATTAAAGCTTAATAATATATTAATTTGGTAATTGAATATTAATAATTGGAAAATTATGAATTTATTTAGCATATTAGACCCTTAAAACCACTTGAGTATCGTCTCTAATCCCATTTCTTTGTTGGTTGGTTGCAGTGATAGATCAACAGATACCTTTTCGCTGGCCTCAATTAGCGATTTTTCGCCAATTTGCTAATAGGCCTTTCGTTCTTACAGATGAACAGTCTGATAATCTGTCAAAAAAGTACTATAAAAACCTGTTTCTTCTGAAGTACAGAGCTGAGCATTCACAGAAAAATTGCTTATTAGTTACTTTTTCATGTAAGTTTCCAGAATTTCTGCAATGAGTATGAAAAAGAATGCGCAATTTCTTTGTGTGGGTTCCTATATACCATTTCTTTGTTACTTTAGTATATAATACTAAGAATGTATATATGTTTCTATAATTGTTTTGCTTTCTTAAAGTTAACAAAAATTATAAATAATTTTTAGACCCCTCTCATATATACGTACGGTGACGAACACAGCGAGCAGTATATTGTACTTTAACATTGTTTTTACTCCGTTTTTACTCTGATTTTTAATTAACAAAAATTATTATAGATGGAATACTTAACTTGCAGCTAAATTCATTTTAATTCATTATATTATCTCTTATATTTAATTTTTTAAAATTTGAAAAACAAAAAAAGTCCTAAATTACAAGTACAATACATAAATTTTTTTTTAAATTAACAATGTGTCTTTATTAAACCGCTTTTAGAATCTTAAAAATTAATAACATTACATTATAAATTATTTTAAATATATATACATACAAAAATAAATTATAAATTATTTTAAGGGGCCTCTGAATAAGTAGCCAGGGCTTATTTACCAGATATCACGGCGCATAAGTTGAAGTAAACAGCATAACCTTTGGGAAAGTAGGATCTATCATCCTAATATCATCATCTATCATTCAATTTCAGTCTAGAGGAATTTATTGTATTAGCAAGAGACCTTACCAGCAGATTAACATGGTTTTCAAGATTTGAAACATGTTTCTGCCTTATTCTCTCGAACTCGACTTTAACAATAGAAACTTTCAAACAATACATAATGAAATCCAAATAAATAACTGTGAATTTAAGTTTCGTTCTAGTTATAATTCTAATATAGTGCATTCCATTAAAAACATTTGGGATAGATTAACTATAACCGTATTGTATATAAATATGTTAAAATACCGACATGAAGCTTTTGTTTTGTAAAACGATTTTTACTCTTGAAACGATCAATTAATTTCAGTCTACCGTGATGTTTTGCCCGCCAGTGATACCAACATTTTGTTCGCCAGTGCGTGCAAGAATGCATTCATGCCGGCATAATAACATCACCGACTCGCTTTTGGGCTATGTACCAGGCTTTAAAAAATATCCGTTAATTTGTATTTAAATAAATCGTGAACGTATCGTGAATTATGTATGTACATACATATATGTTTGTCTGGCAAGTCAGTGAGTTTTGTTAATTAGGAACAATAATAAGATTGTCACACTTTCGCATGAACGTTAAACTATTTTTCACATTTATAGATTTATACAAATCAAATTTAATTATTTTTAACTCAAAAACCACCTTAGCTTAGCGCCTTGTAACATTGGAAATTCCGTAATATCTTACAAACATGCATACATTTTCGCATTTGTAGAGACGGACAAACGCAAAAACGCACAATTCGTGCCTGCCCGCGTCTAGCACCAGCAACGCTAAACAGTTTGTTGCGATTATGGCCGCACGTCATGTGATTGACGACAACTGACAATGCCGCTGTCTCTCAAGTAGAGAAAAAATGCATGGTTAAGTAAATTTTTAAATAGTTTGCTATTGTTAATATAATATACATATGTATGTGTGTGTATATTATATATATTACTTATTTAATTGTTATTATTATTGAAAAAATCCCATGTAATTTAATTCTCCTTTAAAGTCGGTTCCAATGATTAAGCGGTCGGTTTTCATCTATGCGAAATAAAGTTCATACTACTATTTATGAACTTTTATAGTTTTTTTGATCCGAAAACAATTTATTTAGCATTGTAAAATACTTTTTTAAATGCATTGATGACTCAAATTAGAAAATTGTAATGTAATTAGACTATAAAGAAATCTATTAAATATGTGAAGTAAGATTTTCAAACAGGAAGTTCACACAATATTTTTTAATATAAATATCAATGTCAGGTTGAAATAATTACGTTGTTTTGTCTTTTCTTTTGTAAATATTTAAAAAAGAAATTTAGTAAAAATAAATCGGTATATGTACAGGTTTAGGCGATTGAAGTGTTACCTATTCAAGTGACCATATCTTTTTTGTGTGAAATATTTTTTATTGATTCAAACTACAAAAATTTGTGAAAATAATCAAAATTTCAGAATCCACTTACTCTACCCCAATGTGGCCACTTTTTGCCTTGAGTATACTCTTCAAACGAATTAAAAAATGAGTTGCATGCTTCACGAAATGATCTTCCGGTAGTTTGGCACATTTCTGAACAATGGTTTTATTTGGTGCATCCATACTGATATATTTTTAGTCTTCACCTTGGAATAGACCATCGTATTTGTATCTAGCGATTTCGAAAGTCATTGTGTAGACAAAATGAAGTGTGAAACATGATTTTTTAACCATTCTTGGTTCACACGAGGTTTATGAGCCGGTGTCGAGTCTTGTTGGGACATACATGGTTTACGACCGAAATATTTACATGCCCACA